GGTGGAGGTTTCGCGACAGATCCGCTGCGAGGTGTACAAGGCGATGAGATGTGGCTCCGGGAAGCGGGGGGGGGGGGAGGGTGGCAAGGGCGAAGTGGGTGTGTCTCAAAATGTGGCCCCACCTGAAACCGGTGTTTTTTTATGATGGTGTTGGTTTCCGTTTTTCTTTAAAGCCAGCCCAAAAACTGGGCACCCCTCAAAAGAAGACACACCCGAGCATGAGCCAAAACAACGAAGACTCTCAAGAAAAAATGGACTGGGAATTCATGAGCAATGGGGGAGTTTCTTGTATGAACCTGCAGTTTCTTGCATGAAAATAATTGCCATTCATGAAGAAATGTGGCATTCTCGCAGCTTGTTGGTTTCTTCTAAAGAAAAAGGAAAAACCGACTTGCTGGTGCTCAGCAAGAAGTGAGGGAATGAACCTGGGGGTCCCGTCGGGGTCATTCCATTTCTGGGGCTTTTGCATCCCTCGCAATGAAGGGAAAGACGGGACTCTCATCCAAGTGACGGGTCCTTCGGCTCTGATTTGTTGATTGGATGGATAGGGTGGGGTGAGATGGGAGCAGATTGGTTTGCTTTGGTCTGATTGGTTGATTGATTGATTCATTGATTGGTTGGTTGATTGATTTGGTTGAAATCCAGGTGTTTTAACTGTGCTTTTCACTAAACCCCCCAAAAGTTATCCACTTTTGGCAGGGGGGGTCGTTGCAGCAACCAAGCTTCGGCTCCGATGTCGTTCGTTTCGCTTGGCGCAGTTGAATCGCGGCGCCACGCTGGACGACATGGCGGCTCACAAGCCCGGAGCCCCGGAGTGCCCATCGCCTTGGGCGAAGCAGGGGCCAGGATTGGCCGCGAAACTTGGGGTGCGCCGCCCGGTTGGAACCCCGAAGATTGGCAAAACCGTTGGGATGCTTTAAGGTTGGGCTTAAAAAAAGGATTTTGGTTTTCCTTTTGGTTTTTCGTTTCAATACCACCAAAAAGTGGGTAGCAACTCTAAGGAAGACGATCCAGCCATTTGGTTTTTTCTCCCACAAATGAATTGCGCCATCTTGTTGGAATGGGTGATTTAACGGTGGGTCAACCCCTGAAGATCTTTCCGGAAATAGGTAATTCTAGATCTGCACCGCGTTCATTGCAGAGCTTCATTTCTGGTTGCGCTTGTCCGGTGAAGACTGGGACATGGGATTGGGGACCTTCTCTGAAGGTATTTGCCTCAAGCTTTGCCGAGAACGGACCCCACAGTTGAGGATGTCAATGTCCAAAGCGTCCCCAGTGGAAGATGACAGTCTCCAGCCGTGGCAAACCGCGGAAAAACCGCGCCGTCTTTGAATTGGAGCCTCCAAGAAACGGCACCCTCAACGAAACCACGCCCAGATACAAGTGACAGCTTTGGGATTCGCTCAGGGTGTTCCACCGAACCCGGGAAATTACCCTCTGGCCCTGCTGTCATGCGATTTTACCTCGGCACCTTGGAGACTAGCACAGGGCTACCTCCGAAGCGGTGCCATGAGAACCACAAGCAAGAACCAGAGAGTTCTGAATCGGGTGACCTTTGCCTCCCGAACCCAAAAAAAACATGGCGCATGATGGCGCCCTGAGAGAGGGATACCTCCGGCCCCAGTTTTGTTTTTGTTTTTTTTGGGGGGGGTGGTGTCGAGAATTTGGGGGAATACCTTCACTGTTCCTTGCTTTTTTTGGTTTTGGCAGAGGTTTCTTGCTCTGTTCATTTTTTAGCCGGGCTGCAAAGAAACAACATGTGTTGCTACAATGCTAAGGATTGAGAGGATAAATGTTTGCGAATCAAGGGTTGGTTTGACAATTGCTCCTTAAAAGATACATCTTGCAACCATTTGAAACATGTGGCTTTTTAAACACCAACACAAAGGGAAACCGCCATTTACAGGGCAAAGTTCAGGTGTATAATGCATCCGGATCCCTGATTGGTTTGAAGGGACGCCCAGCGGAAAGCCAGCACTCGCGGAGCCGGTTGGGTTTGGATCAGGTTCCTGGGCGGCTGCGAGTTCATGCTGACCGCCTTGGCCTCAGCTCCAATCGGTAGCTCAAACTGGCTGCTTGGGTGTTGAAATCACTCGGTAAGTGGGTTATAACCATGGGTAATTACAAGGGGTTGATCACCCCAGTTGCTCCTTTTTGTAGCCATGGTTGTTATGTGCGTACTAAGTTGGTGGAACATCCGAGTGGAAATCAGGGCACCAACAAGCACAGGCTCAATGATGACGGAAGATGCCAACGCTCGTTTGTTTGCTTTGCTTTAAAGGGAGCCCAAAGGACAACCACGCGTTTGAGTGGACCTTCTCTTTGTGGCACGGGCCCAGCCGAGATATTTGCGGCTGGTCTACTGTTTTTTGGGGGGAGGACATGGGGGAAAACCCATTTTGTCCCACCAAATCCCAAAACCTCTCAATGGTCCAGAGTAATTTTGGCACAAAATCAGTTCAGCCATCCACAGTTGAACTGGTACGCCAATTTGCCGTCCACAGTGGCATGGTCAAACCGTATGCTTGCTTAGGGTTGGGATGGTCATAGGCCCCTTAAAGGAGTTGACGTGATCATGCCACTGATTGCTTTTCAGGGAGCCGCCACGTAAGGAGTTGGTTTCCGGCACAAATTCGGGTGAATTTTGTGGGACGGGCTCTCGTTTCTGGGAATTTCTGGGAGTTTGCCCATGCAGCGGGCCTGGATGTACATGCATTCCCTTTGGGCCATGGCTTCATCCTATGCAGTCAGCTTTTGATTAGCATGGCACAAGCTGCATAGAAAGGACTCTGTTTGCTGCAGCTGTCTTGTCTGCTTTTTGTTTTGTTTGGAGAGGATTTCAGGGGAGGTTCTGTGCAGGTTCCGGCTGGTCAGCCGTCAGCCACATGGAATCCACCATAGGTGGTCCTTTTGTGTTTGGTTTGTTTTAAAATATGGGGAGGGGGTCTGGTTTACCTGGTGGTTCAATTATCTACCAGGGAAACCCATCAATTTTTCAAAGAAGGACACCTATGCTACCATGGGTTTCGGAGGACAAGGATGGCGCATGGGTGTTGCCCACAAAGCTAGGCGTCTCTTGCGCATTCGCTCGCCCGCCTCGCGCTAGGAGGCGGTCATGGCAAGGGCCAAGGCTGGACGCTTTCAGTTGGGGAGAAGCGCGGCTCGCTGGCCCGGTGCTTTGCATTTCCAGCCTGTCCACCCAAGGGGTGCCAAGGGTCCGCATGCGGCAGTCTTTTTTGAGCGGTACTTGGACAATCCTGTGCCAGTGCCACAGTGTTCGTCCCATGGCTTTTGTTTTTGCACGGCAGGGGGTCAGGGGTTGGATTTGGGTGTGGGACTATGGGTGCATGCATGGGTCTTTTTTTATTAGCCTTTACAAGCTGATGAGCCATTCCCTGTTGCAGGGTTTTGTTTGGGCAAATGTGTTGTCAACGGCAAATGTTGATGAAGGAGTTGCCGTGCCTTTCAAGCGGTGTGCCGAAGACTGATGCGTGTTGTTGATCGGCAACTGTTCACGCGCGAGCCCAAAATGACCAGGTGCATGAACGGCTATGATTTCGGAAGGTTGGACCACAGACATGGCTGGTGGTCATGCAAATTAAGCTGAAAGTACTTCAGAGGGCTAGCGATGGTTTCATATACCCCAACTACTCAGTTGTTTAAACGGACCCTCTAAATCCCTTTGTTTGGTGGCCCTGGCGCCCCCAGTGGTCGTCAAAAACCAAAGTGGTCCCCATTTGTCTATCAGGCCCACTGAACAACTTGAATATGAGCAACGAACACTGAGGCATGGGTTCTTGGGTGGGCCATCAGCTACGGGGGTTGGCTCCGGGCCCACGTCCCATCGGTTTTTGGTGGTGCTGTTGCGCAGTACCGGGTACCGGTTTGTCCATGTGGCTTTATGCTGTTTGAAGCTCTTGGGCTCAAGTTTGCGGAGTTCCTCGAGCACTCCGAAGGTTCTCGTCCGGCAACATGGGCTTGGGCTTCTTTGCTGCAAGGCGAGCGCAAAGCTTGGCATGTCTTCGTTTCCAGTTTGCGCGGTGCTCTCGTTGTTTTCCTGCGGCATTGCTTTAGGAGCCTTATTTGAACCGTAATTTTGGAACGGGAACTAGTGAATTGTGATACTGCTGCGAAAGGCAGGTATTGCGGTCAAGAGGTATCTTTTTTGGCAAGCCCAATGTTGCGGCCCAGAACAAGTTTGGACCTTGTTGGGCCCATCCGCTCAGAAAGTGAGCCATGAATTTAGGCTCATGTGGGCGTTTCGGGCTGCAAGGCACCAGCTTTTTGATATTTTGTAGGCGTCGCCTGAGTAGCCTTACCCATTTTGTCATTGCCACATGTAGCAAACCGCTTTGCACCGCTGCCCTTCTCCGGCTTTCCATTTTTTTCTTCTTCCCTTACCGCCAAGTGGAGCACGCCCCGGAATAGCCTCTCAGTACAAGAAGCATATGTTCCTGCAAGCCTCAAAAAGGACACCTAGCCGGAGCAGGGACCACTTGTTCCCGCTTCGGAGTTGACCTGCTCGCGCGAAACACGATTCAAGGCATACCTAAATGACCTCAACCTGGGAGCTTCTCACCAATTGTTGATGCGTTTCGGGCGTTTCGGAGGGGGGCCAAAAGGCAACCAATACAAACCAGATCAGTTCCGGGGACCATTCCAATTTTCAGAAACTTCCCCCACATCGAATGGTGTGATTTGGGGGCCGCATTTTATTCTCGGAGGTCTAGGCTTCGCATAAGGGCTGGACGAAACAAGATGTGACCGGGAGGCACCGACCCTGGCATAACGGATAGGCTTGGAGTCTATCCCTTTGTGCGGCTGTTTTCAACGAGGGGGGAAGGGAATGCCAACCAAACCGTTGGACCCCCTTGTTTGGTATTTGTATGGCAACCGAGAAGCAACTAACATGGGACCGATTCCCATTTTGAGCACACAGCTGGTTCTGTGTTTGGAAAAACGACGGGTTAAAAGTGGCTGCATTTTTATGAGCACCCCCAATGAGCTTTGCCCTGCATTTCAATGGGGACTTATTCACCGCTTGTTTTTTCCCCCAAACAGCTGGAAGCTTTGGGGTCTCTGCCCAGATAGGGTTTGGGGCAGCTTTGGGGTTCTCAAAACCTGGCTGTTTGAGGGCCCAAAAAAGCCTCTGGGTGTTGATTGGGAGAACGTAGGCTTGTTTAGTTTTTTCAGGTCCCACATTTAGCATTCAGGAACAGTGTCCCTTGAAGAAAACAGCCAAAGATCACTGCATACGTGTGGAAACCCTTTCAAACAGCCGGCAGCGCTGGTTTTGATTTGGCCAACATGTATCCTTCAACAAAAACGGCCCTGAGTAACCACCTAAGCTTCCATTTGTTTAAGAATATGTTTTATTTCCCCTGTTGGTCTTGAAGGGAATCTATCACCACTGGACATATTTGTGCATTTTTTCAGAGGGCGAAACCGCAAATGGAAGCAAGTGGATCAAGGTTTCACATGTCTCTCACCAATAGCTGTGAGACACACACACACACACACACTTTTAGACAGACATTGGCGTCCGGGTGTAAAAAAAGGGGCCCTGAGTGACCATCTAAGTGGGTTTTATCTGAGGCAAGAACGCCAACGATGGGCCCATCTGCACCTTCACCAAGGGAGCCCTGACCGGGTTCATCGAGGCCATCATTTGCCGCTCGGATTTGGCGGAGAATTCGAGGGCTCGATCCGCGAGCGTCTCGATCCTTCTAACCCGGGGGGCGGGGGGCGCTTTGGTGGGCTTTTTGGGTGTTGAAACCAGTTACCAAGGGGACTTGCCACGGTTCCCTATGAATGGCCGGTTGGGCGCGTCGTTTTTTTAACGTTCCCCCTTTCGCGGCTGAAAGGGAAGCTAAAAAGGAGACCAAGGTTTCCTCAGCGACAGGGGCCCCAAGGAAAATTTGTGACATAATTTCATGTAGCAATGGTTAATATACACACTCTCCCCCGTTGTGTTTCTTTTTTCCCTTTGGGGGTGGCGCACGCCATGGATTGGGACTTCTTGCAGCAGCCGAAAGAGGATCAGACGGGAGCCCTCTTTGATCTTTTTGGCGGATTAACCTTCGAGGTTTGCAGAGAGGGTTTGGACAATGGAACTACTTTTTTGAGGTTTGCCGTGCTTCGGCCGCTTCGGCCCAATAGGGGTTCCAGACTACGTACCCCCCCATTTTGTTTGGGGGTTCCAGTCAAGTCACGCCTAGTTGCCAATTGGGTGGCCATGGCACCCGAGGCTACCCCACGGAGTTTGTGAAGACGCAGTTGCAGCTTCAGTCTAAAAGCAGCCCGGAGTACACGGGCATGTGCCTTGGCATCAAGTCAGCGCTGACTCGTAGTCGGGGTCGGATGACCTCCTCACTTAGCAAGTGCTGAATATCCTCGGCGAATGAGTCCCCCCAGTGAGTTATTTGCAGGGTAGCTCCCACTTGGGCACTTGACTGGGGATCTGCACTTGCACCAATAGCATACGCACCACCAACTACCCACCGTTCATGGCTTTCACACTTGGACGGCCACAACCGCGCCACTTTGGAAATGAATCAGGGTTGTATGTAGAGTGGCTCCCCTTCCGAGTTTGTTCATCAAGGATGTCAAGCGCTTGCAAAGGGTGGTCACCATTGTCCACATACTAAGAAACTCGGTGCCCAGTAGGTGGGACATGATTGAAGCGTTGAACACACAGAGATTTGTAGCAGTGCTGAGAGCTGCTTCTCATGAAAGATTGCTCACTTGTCCAATGAACCTGAAATTACCTTTTGGTTTCCCTTTTTGGACCATTTTTTCATGGCCCCAAAAGGCAATCAACTGAGATTGTGAACTGTGGCAGCCCGTAGTTTTTCGAATCCAGCCCTTTCACTGCCTTTCAGCTGTACGGCGACATTCGAAGAAGTCTTTTCATGCTTTGCATGCTGTTTCCCGGTCCAAACAAAATCTGATGCAAAGGGTGAAGTCAACAGAGACCTTGTTTCCAACCGCGGATTTGGGCTGTGTGTTCCCTGTTTGACCATGTTTTTCTTTAGGGAATTTCATGCTTCCCACGACCAACCCCTTGTAGCTTGTTGCAGCCTGCAGTGCTGTGGATGGACCAAATCCGTTTCGCGAGAGGGGTTGGTGGTTGGCCCCATTATTCAAATTGTCCAACAAATAGATTTCGTCCATCCACATTCATGGTACCCTTCACTCCCTAAAAGCGGGCTGACCTTCCAAACTGGTCGGAAACCAATGGGGCAATCCTGGATGGTTCTACTGGTCTTTGAAAAGAACGATGGTTGAAAAGGATGCGGAAATACCTTGCAGAACTTCCAGAGCTCATGGACTTAACATGTTTGGGATTTGGGCCATGCTGGTGGCACACAAAGAGTTTGTTATTTCGCTTGCAGGACGTGAGACTTAAAGCGTCCTGGTTTCACCATGGGGCAAGAAGCGAGCAGTGATTCAAGGTTGCCTTACACGGCAAGATCTTTGCCCGAGCTTCCAGGTCCTGGATTTGCACTCAGCAAATCAAAATTGCTCTGAACAACATTCATCTTTCTGGTGCTCATCACAAAAATGCGGTTGAACGAACCCAGGCCAGGGGTCCCCTTAAAGGAAGCCACCCGTTGGATGAAATGGCTATAATGGGTATTTCTCATTCTCAGCTGATCCATACTGGATAATGGTTGGATTATTTTCTATAAGTGGAATGGATCATTTTGTCAATACTGAGAATGAACACCAGTTGGATGATTTTTCGATCATTTCTCATTCTCAGCGCCCGAGCGGCCAAGGCTGGACTGCGCCAAGAAGACTGTGGCGGCCCACGGGCCTCAGGCCGGAAGCGTGCCATCCGTCGGCTGCTGGGTTTCTGCAGGGCTTGAGGAAGCGGGCGTGTTGACTTAGCGCAGCGGAAGCACAGTTTGGTTTTTGTAACCGGGCTGTGTGGCTGATGCGGTTGGATGGTGTTCTTGATTGCAATCTTGCCCACTTTTCGTGGCTTTCACCTCGGTGGGCTCTGAGATCAGGTACATGGTTGTTGTCCCCAGACTTGTCCGAAAAAGGGGGTCCCGCCCGACTGGGTGGTTAAACCAAGCAAAGCACAGAAAGGGGCTCGCCACCCGTTCGGTCTTGGGAAGCAACAATGGGAGAGTTTACGCCGTTTCAGGCCCGTAGCGGCAGGTTCCCTGATCGGGCTAGTCCCAAGTATCACAACTTCCGGGTGACATGCCAGTGGCAGGATGCCCCACAGCAGGTGTCTATCTACAAAATGCTGCGGGTTGGAAAGAAATGGGGCGGGGTGTGTTTTTTGGAGAGAAACACTTCTTGCTATTTTATAGCGAAGCCAAAAGGACCTCCCACCCATATTTCATTACTTGGAGCCTGTTTTGACACTCACACTCAGACCATGAGGCTTAAGCGTGGCTGTAGAAAGCTTGGTGCACGGAAGGTGGCTTTCTTTCGTGCTATTGAGCTGGATCTTTCAATTGAACATGAGTTATTGCCCTCAGGCAAAATCGTTTGTCGCGGAGGGGAGGTCTTATTGCCAGCAAAGTGTGCCTGTTTCTGGTCACAGAGGTTTGTTTTGGGGCCCCATGACGCGAGATGCTGTACTCGGGCGTGGGTCCAAACTTGGTATCCAAAATGGAACCCTGGTAAATGGAAACTAGGACGAAAATCTGCGGTCCTCTGGCGGTTGAATTTATACCCATACCCATTTTTCGTAATTTGTCTAGATGATTGCTACCCCGAAGGCCCCGCAGCGCGCCCGACTCAGGGTCCCTTCAAATCCAGCCGACCAACCATTCCCCTACCCTAAACTCTTGTATTTCCATAGGTGCCTCCCTTCAGATTGCATTGCCGTTTCACCATAGTGGCGACTCGAATTTACACAAGCCATACCCTCCTTCCGACAACCATGCATGTGGACCGGAGGGTTCTCCAAAAGGAGAAAGTGCTCTTCCACCAACAGCTTCCATGATTCTTGCCTTGACCTCAACTTTCCCTCTCAGCCACGCGCCAAGCCGCAGCGAAAAAGAGCCCCTTTGCAGGGCCTCTACCGGGGCGCCCTGCCATTGATCCTCGGCTCCTCGGGCAAGCAGGCGGGCGATACCGGCCCCTTTTAAAACAAGCACAGGTTAACCAGTAAATGTGTTTGAGCCAAGGCCCCCCAAAACAGTAGCGACTAAATTTTCAGTTCTTTTGAGCAGTTGGTCACTCGCTGCGTGCCCCGTTTTATGTTGACTAAACAGCTTGGCAGGTTGGCTATGGTTGGCCGGTTTGTTTGATCCCGTATGGATGCGGTTTCAAGAGTGCCTGGTCTTTAGTCACGATTGGACCATGTGGCAAACAAGCAAACGTTTGGAGATGAGACTGTGGTTTAACCCATTCAAACTGTTTAAAGGAACGCTCCTTGGCGTGTCTTTAGACCAATGTTGGGGATTGCACCTGTACCGTCAAAATTGCTTCTGTTGAGTTTAGCATTCGGCGTTTCGTTGGTATTGCGAAAATGCACAACACCATGGCAAACGATAGGGCACTCAAAAAAACAAAAAAGATACCCCTGCAAAAAGATGGAAACGCTGGAAAACGATAGGGGGCTCTCAAACTAAGTAGCGAAACTGCCGCGAGTAAGTAATTTCGACCGTGCTTCGAGGACCTGGTCTGCTCCAGACATGGTTGCCTAAACGATTTAAGCATCGACGCCTTCGGTGTCTTTGGACAGTCCGGCAGTCTGTGGGGTCAGGCGGCCCGGTGGACGGGGTACGAGACCACCGCCAACGCCCTGAAGGATGAGCAGGCTCGGCATGGGTGCTTTGTTTTTTTCCAGGCATGGGTCAGAAGGAGAACTCAGGACAGTCATTTGAGCCACTTGCTCAAAACCCGGGTAAGTGAAGGTTAGTAAGCGACGATCCCAGCCATAAAAGCTGCGGCCGCCTTCTCAGTTCTTGAAGCATGGTTCTGGGTCGACCATTTTGTACCGGGTTTGGATTGTGACTCATTTGGCTTCGTT